ATGTTTGGACTTCTGAGACACTTCAACAACTTTTTAACATCATGGGATGTAGTCTCATCAGATTAGGAATTGGAACAGTAGAATGTTGCAGGGTCAATAAAAGTATAAGATAGCTGTCTTGCTCAATAGTACCAATGACACTATGTTTTTAATCAGTTGCTGAAAGCCTGGGGAGCTTATGTTGCCAGCACTTGTTCACCTGATGCTGTAGATCTTGTTGCTGGTCTTGGAGCAGATCTGGTGGTTGATTACAGTGCAGTTAATGCAAAGGAAGAACTGAAAACAGCTGGAGGGTAAGAGCATTACTAGTTAGTGATATTATCATTTCCACCCATTATGTAGTGGAGATGGGATGGGGGGAACCCAGGGGGGAAAGTGGGTGGGGATTATACAGTGGGAAAAGAGAGGACCAGAAGTGGGATTTCAATTCCAAGATGTTAGGGACCAGAAGAAATAGGGAAGAACTAATTGCCAAATTGTAAAAAGGCAAAGCAAAAAAGGGTTCAGCTACTTAACAAAGGGGAGAACTCGCAGTAAGAATAAGCATGTATTGTCAGTTTCTGGATACTTGTCTTTATAGATCAGACTTGATACAGTGACTTTTCATTGTTAAATATGATTTGCTTTCAGTTTTGATATAATCCTTGATCCATTTGGAGGAGAAATCAGAGAAAGATATGCCAGTCTGTTATCCAAATGGAAAGGATCAATGTTTGTGACACTCGCACCGCCTGTTCTTGGTGATACTGACAAGTTGGGCGCCAGTCTTGGACTGGTGTCTGCTGGACAAAATCTTGCTTCAGCTGCTGCTCAAGAGGTTACTTAATATTATATGCTTCATCTAAATTTCATAAGAGTAAATTAGTGGTACTTATTATGTATAAAAGCTGCATGATAAAGAGAGTAACTATATAAATTTAGCAGTAGATGTAAAATATTAGTATTATCAAATGTAATTTATAGTATTGTCATGAAACACCACTAGCATTAATTAAATTCGTCACTGTTTTTATTGATCTCTTAAGAATTTCTCTTTGGGTAAGAGAGTTTCAATTTATGTATTCTTGGCTGAAGTTTGTTCATAACTTAACATATTAAAAATCATTTCTTACAATAAAATGCACTTCAATGCATTTTCAAGTGATGTAGGACAGATTGGAAGACAGTCTTGCTGAACACTGTTCTAGGCTCCACATGACAAATTGGCCCTAAACCTTTAATGCTGATTATTTATAGTAAATTATATGATCAGTGGCAACATGTAGTCTTAACATTAAGCTCATCCACATTATTATAACTTAGAAAAATATCATTTCACCTCGGGATACAAAATGTACCTTGTGGATTTATGTTCACTGTTAATTGTTGATTTTAATATTATGATTTTGTCTACAGGCTCTGTGTAGTGGTAGTTTGGTTTCCTGGGGTTTCTTTAGCCCTAATGGTGCAGCCCTGGACCACATCCGATCTCTCTGTCAGTCTGGCATGGTATGCATTTTCTGTTTCAAATCATTTGTCCTATGGGTGCAGATTATATTGAGTAATTTGTTCTATAGCTCTTGGCTCTTGGGGAAGATACAGCTAGAAGCGTGCACAAAAGCAAACGATGACCTTGAAAACGACACTAGCAATGTTTTGAGTCAATGTCGTCTAAAAATACAATGTAATTTTTCCCTAAATTATATTACAATCATTTCAGATGCCTGAGAGTGTCATACTACATATCAAGTTTTCTTTGCAGTTATTTCTCTAAAATACTTTGCTTCTAGCTACTGCAAAATGTAACATGAACCAATGAAATAACACACGGTTAGGCATAAATGCAGTGAAGATTGGCCCATCATCTCTCTTTTACGGGCACGGTGACCCATCTTTTTTATGGCACGTTTCAAAACAGTGCTTGGTAGGGAACTTTTAGGGAATGTCAAGGTTGAATATAAGAGAAAGAAAGGGCATTGCATTTCATCTCTTTACCATCTCTTTTTTTTCTTTTTATGTCTAGATAAAACCTTTTGTTCAGGAAGTGTTTCCATTCTCTAAGACTAATGAAGCTTATGCTAAACTTGAGAGCGGTCATGCAAGAGGAAAAATAGTGATCAGTATGGATTGTAAAGAATCTACCAAAGAGGAACATTCAGTTTGACATCTCTGGACATAGAAGATACTACCTCCACGAACAGTCATGTTTCCTCCATGAGGAATATGCTAGTTAGTCAACAAACAAGCAGCACGATAAAACCTATCTACAACCACCCAAAATCTTAGTGCAAACGAACATGAGGGAAGGTCACATAAAGTCGCAAAAAGATGATCATAAGTACAAACCCATTCTGAATCTTACTCATGGTATTATGGTCACTGAGAAGAAAAACTATTTTTCGTTGGTGGTTTTGTGCCAAAGCTGTGTTAAAATGGTTATCTTCAAATGCCACCACAGGAACTTATCTGGTTAAAATTCTAACAAATTTCAATAGTTTCTTTTAATGTCAGTGATTAGATTAGTAAAAAAAAAATGTTCAAGTGGTGTTTTTCAGTGAAGATAGCTGGACGTGATTGTAGCCTGTGCAGCAAGCGTTCCATTACACAGAGCTTTTCCCCAACCTGGGTGCACGCAAGTTGGAGCGAGAGCTCCCTGCTTTGCCAATATTTTAAATCTCACTCCAATTGCCTGCAGCTAGAATAGGGAAAAAGCTCTTTGCAGGCTAGTGTGATTGTGGTTTTATTTGATAGTTGTTGCTGTCACTGTGATCATAATTTTGGTGTGGTGTTCACTAGTGCATAAACAGCATTATAATGCAAACACAGTATGTGTAGTTCCAGAAAATATCCATACCTCCCCCACAGAAGAGATTTTTTCTAACACCTCCCCACCCCTCTGGAAATTCCATTTAAGACTCATACATTTCTTTAACTTTTGGCCTTCCAGAACCCCCCATCCCCCAGGAAATTCTAATCCCTTCTGTAGGGGGAGTATGGATATTTTCTGGAACTGCACAATGCAGTCCATAAGTAGCACTTTTAAGGCAATTTTCCTAACCAAAGGTGCTTATAATATTATAAATATTCTTTAGACCTCTTGAGTATTTTATATGCAACATATTGCAAATCAAATACAAGATACAGCAAGTCTGGCAAACTTATATTTTTATTATTAACAGTTCAGGCATCATGTACCAAAATTGACAGGCACATGGAAAACCTCATTTGAGAACCCAGTCATGTTTGTATAAAAAAACTAACAGTTCACAAGTGCAAGCAGTGATAAATAACATGTTTGCAAACTTCTTTTCTATCTACATGGAAATCCACACTTCCGTTGCAAAGCTTATAGCGCTTTAAGCTTTCCACTGAATTATAACACAGCACTTAACAAAACAGTTCACAAGTGCAAGCAGTGATGAATGACATGTTTGCAAACTTCTCTTCTATCTACTTGCAAATCCACACTTCTGTTGCAAAGCTTATAGCGCTTCAAGCTTTCCACTGAATTGTAACACAACACCTAATAAAACCAATATTTCACAAGTGCAAGCAGTGATGAATAACATGTTTACAAACGTCTCTTCGATCTACTTGCAAATCCACACATCTGTTGCAAAGCTTATAACGCTTCAAGCTTTCCACTTTCAAGCTTTCCACTGAACACCTAACAAAACAGTTCACAAGTGCAAGCAGAGATGAATAACATGTTTGCAAACTTCTCTTCTATCTACTTGCAAATCCACACGTCTGTTGCAAAGCTTATAACGCCTCAAGCTTTCCACTGAATTCTAACACAACACCTAACAAAACAGTTCACAAGTGCAAGCAGTGATGAATAACATGTTTGCAAACTTCTCTTCTATCTACATGCATATCCACACTTCTGTTGCAAAGCTTATAGCACTTCAAGCTTTCCACTGAATTATATCACAACACCTAAAACAGTTCACAAGTGCAAGTAGTAATGAATAACATGTTTGCAAACTTTTCCTCTATCTACTTGCAAATCCACACTTCTGTTGCAAAGCTTATAGTGCTTCAAACTTTCCACTGAATTATAACACAACACCTAACAAAACAGTTCACAAGTGCAAGCAGTGATGAATAACATGTTTGCAAACTTCTCTTCTATCTACTTGCAAATCCACACATCTGTTGCAAAGCTTATAGCACTTCAAGCTTTCCACTGAATTATAACACAACACCTGTTTACATGTAATCTATTTTAATTTATGTGGCTAAAACACGCACTATCTGTCCAGAAGTAAGAGGTTTGTCATTACTGTGGCAGTTGGGTTTCTTTACTACCACATCCACTGTACTTTGTTGTCATCACTTAGTTTTATTCTGCCACTAGCCAGTAGCTCCATGGCTCGTGGATAAGCTCTATGTTCAGCACATTTCACTCGCTCTTGAAGTGTCTCGACTGTGTCTCCGTGTAACACTGGAACTGCTTCTTGAGTCACTATTGCTCCAGCATCAACCTCTTCCTGTCAAATGATTAACTAGTGATCAATGGCAAAATTTTCATTGCATTTTTTATCTACTGTGAAGCAAACTGGTAACAAGATCAGAGTTTTTCTGAACAAAATCTACAACTGTTGTCAAATTTAGTTGAAATGCATCCAAATACACATTGAATTATGACAACAAATACCAAAATGCTTCAAAACACCCCTTTCCCAAATGGCAAAATGCATTCAAGGGATTACTCTTGGGTGGAGGGAGGACAAAAAATGTGTGAAAACCGATTTTTCTAGTATTATAACAATTTAAATTATGTCAAGGGTTGTAGGTCAAATTTTTGAATTAATGCCAGGTGGACTGGGAATCAACTTCCCTTCTAAGCTAACTTACCTCAACAAAATGGACAGTACAGCCTGATATACAAACACCAGCCTCGAGCACAAGTTTGTGGGCATGCATGCCTTTAAAGGATGGGAGCAATGAAGGGTGGACATTCAGTAGTCGGCCATGCCATTTGCGAACAAATTCTGCTGTTACAATTCTCATAAATCCTGCCAAACAAACCAATTCCACCCCAGCCTCCTCCAATGCTGCATGCACAGCCATGTCAAAATCCAAACGACTCTTGAATTCCTTGTGCTTAATTACCTAGAAAAAAAAACATTTATTCCGATTGTTTATTTTTGAGACTGGCAAACCATCAGCCAGAAATGTCAACATAACTTTCTATTGCAGGCCATTTAAGTGAATAGCCCATTTCCAAGTTGCCCTAGGCCTCTCCATCAAAGCGAGGCCTGGTGGACAACTATTCATATGAAAATGAGTTTACCGGTAATTGGCATGTAAATGAACTCATTTTCATATGAAAGGAATCACTTTTAGAGAGAGACTTAAGGTAGCTCAGAAATGGCCTTTTCAATTATCACTAGTTAGTGGAGGAATATGGTAGATATAAGCCTGAGCAGCATTTAAGATTCAGGTAGACAAGAGGCCAGTGGACCCTGAACAACAAAATTAAATCCTGCAATGTCATTACACATGCATGTATCGTTCTCACAATAGATCTTACTAGGAATACATACAACAAAGTCCTAATAATCCACTCAAGACACTTACTTTAGTTGGTATACCAGCTTTCTCGGCCCGTGACAAACCTTGCACTCCAGGTACGTTTGAAATGACCAGTACAATCTTGGCACTACTGTCTTGCCTTAAGCTTTGATCAATCAATGCTTGTAGGTTTGTTCCCGATCCCGAGATAAGAACACCCACTTTCATTTCTTTGTCTTTGGGTTGTTGATCCATTTGTCCATTGCTTAATTTTGGCCTTTTAGCAGGTCCATTGACTCTGTTTGCATTGACTTGATGTTTGATTTCTGCCTTTGCTGCAGATTTGCAAAGCACATCTTCAAGATTTCCAACAACCACCCTGCTGCTGTTTTCTGTTGTGCATTCAGTAACTTTTCCTATAATCCAAGCTTGCTCTTCAGATGTTTTGAAATGTTCCATTACCGAGGCAGCGATGTCTTTTGCTACAATGAGGACTGCTCCAATACCGCAGTTAAATGTCCTGGCCATTTCATGTGTTGAAACATTTCCTTGTCCAAATATCCAACCAAACACTGGAGGCATAATCCACAAACTAGCATCCAGTGACACACCCATACCATCAGGGAGGACACGTGGAATGTTCTCAATCAAACCTCCCCCTAAAAGGGAAAAAATAGTTCAGTCATGATGCAAGAAAAATAACTGTCTGGAAAATAATTTGGCTCTTTATTACGATAAGTAGCTGAGATACTAGCCTAACCTCTTTTATGTTAATGACTTAGCTGTGGCTTGACCAATCACAAAACAGGTTAGTCTGAGTGATAGTGAGGGCCATGACTCAGCAGGTGTCCCAATTACCACTGAGAAGTTGATCACTACAAGTAATTTACTTAATAAGCTAATTTTTCAAGCATTATCCTTTCATTTCTTTATCGAAGTCAAAAGTGTAAAAATGTGGTTACCCTCTCAAAAAAAGAAAAAACATAATTAGGCACGCAGGGAAGCCACAATAATTTAACTAATGGAAGAGAACTGAAATCTACATATCAGTGGTAGAGGAGTTAAAGACAGTGAACAAAAAACAAACCTGTGATATGAGCAAAGGCCTTCACCTTTCCATCTCGCATCAGAGGAAGGACAGAACGGCAGTAAATCCTGGTTGGCACAAGAAGAACTTCACCTAGTTTGGTAACAGACTGTAGCCCTTCCGTAGTCCTAATTGGACTGGGGGAACTGTAACTTAATTCAGATTTATCAATGATCTGCCGCACCAAACTGAAGCCGTTGCTGTGAATGCCAGAAGATGCCAAACCAATGACCACATCATCTGTAGTGATACTCTGTGATTGGGGAAGAACTTTGTCTCGATCAACGGCGCCTACAGCAAATCCAGCAATGTCGTATTCACCAGATGAGTACATCCCTGGCATTTCTGCTGTCTCACCTACAACAAAAGCAATATAATATTACAACCACATTCAGCGACTGCATTAGTTAAAAAGGTAAATACTAAAATATTAATAAATACGATAAGTAAGTATTAATATAGACTGAGATGATTTAGTTGCAAGCTATATTTTTTTTTTTCCTGCACTAAATAATTATCCATTCTCCTAGGCCTGCTCCTTGGTTTTTTCTTGCCATAATCTTTGATTTGCTTTTTGGTTCTTGCATACTGCAGGTGTGCTTGAAATTTGAATTGACCACTCAGGATTCAGGAGGCGGGAAAAACTGAACTGTCCTGACTTCAAAGGCATTGAAGTTGAGCAACTTTGGTTTTTACTGCCACTCGCACTTCAGGCACAGCCACCGTATGTTAGGAGGGGTGAATTTTTTATGTTGCGTTCGATGGAGGTAAGATAATGTATGTCATTCTTCAGATTAATAGCCATGGGTGAAGTGTGGTGGCCTCATGGTTACCGCGCTTGTCTCCGGATCAAGCAGTTCCGGGTTCGATCCCTGGACAGGAACATTACGTTGTGTTCTTGGGCAAGACACTTTACACTCACAGTGCCTCTCTCTACCCAGGTGTATAAACGGGTACCGGTGAACTTAATGCTGGGGGTAACCCTGCGATGCACTAGCATCCCATCCAGGAGGGAGTGGAAATACTCCTAGTCGCTTCATGCTACAGAAACTGGGATAAGCTCCGTTGGCCACTTGGCCCGTATAAGGAGACTTTACCAATAGCCAATGGCAAGTTAATATACCTCCCAAAAGAGCACATCCAGCTTGTGAACAACCATGTGAGATACCACGAATAACTTCCTTGGTGACACCCACATCCAGCCTGCCAGTAGCAAAGTAGTCCAGGAAGAAAAGGGGCTCAGCACCATGAGCAAGAATGTCGTTCACACACATCGCAACCAGATCAATACCCACTGAACTGTGCATACCAACAGCCTGTGCAATCTATAGTCAACACAAAACAGATGTTTGACATCAGAAAAAGAAGAATATCAGTTGCAAAATATGCAAACTACATGTAACTCTGGTTTGACTCAGTAATATTCAGTGCTGGAGAAAATTCAAGGACTCACACTACCTAAAATTCACGGACTTATCAAGACAAGTACTTTTAATAAGAGATTCCAAGAACTTTTCAAGGTTGGATGGAATTCAAAGGCTTTTCAAGGACTCAGTGGACAATTCCCTCTACGAGATGCGCCTGCAGGCACATCTTATAGAGGGAATTGGCCATTACATGTATATGGCAGTTCTACTAATAATGTCTAACCTTAAGTTTTGTTCCAACCCCATCTGTACCACTGACAAGCAAAGGGTCTGTGAAGCCAGCAGCCTTGAGATCAAAGAAGCCTCCAAACCCACCAAGATCAGCTGTACAGCCCTTGCGAGCTGTAGATGCAGCTAATGGCTTGATAGCATTTACAAGCAGGTTACCAGCATCTACATCCACACCAGCACCAGAATACGTCAAGCCTTTGGTTCTATAATAGTCAACAAATAAAACCAACTTCAATTTATTAAAAAGCAAACTACTGCTAATAATGGACAATTCCCTCTATGAGATATGCCTGCAGGGAATCATGGTAGTTGTATTCATTTTGGTCTGGACATCTCTTTTATGAATACAACTACCATGATTCCCTGTGGGAGCATCTCAAAGAGGGATATTGGCCATTCAGCGGCATCGTAAAACAATGACACTTCAATAAAGTCTTTTATTTTAATCACCCCACACCACCACACTGATTAAATAACAAATTACATATTAAGATCATAGGTCACTCGGTTACTTGATCTAGTGATATTCTCAGTCTATAATCATACCTGCAAGCTCTTGATGCAATATCAATTCTATACTGGATTCCATCAAAGCAAATCTTCCTCATACCATCATAAGCTGTTTTCTGAGCATCATTTATTCCTTGTGCAAGACCAACAATTGCCATTACTCTTCCACCTGAAGTAACTACTGCTTCTTCTTCTTTACCTTCAACCATTTTTGCAGCAGTTCCAGCGTGAAACACAACTACATTTTCTGCATCCTTTGTAAAGTAAAAGTAAGGAATGAAATTCAATTTAATTTGCTAAATCGCTTGACTGTGCACACTGTTACCGACAGTGGTTTCATGTTTTCAGCAGGAGGGTAAAACGTTTTCACAGGTAGGCAAATTGTTTTGAACAGCCATTCTTCAAAAGAAAAATTTTCCTCTAGATAGTGAAAGCAGGTGGGCAAAATCAACCTCAAAGGCCGTCAATATGCCCGGTGCCCATCCCTTAATCAAACCCCTGCTGTTATGATCAGTAAACTATATAAATTATGTTTTAATTAGTTATTTATTTCAAACGAAACAAGAATGAACCACAAATATACACAATAAATTAGATCTTCCCAACTTATGATTTTTTTAAAGCCTGATAAAGATACATGTAAAGGTGCAAAGTTTAAAAGCTGAAAAGCCAAACACACCTCCAAGTCTTTCAATCCGTGAATGACACACCCTTTCTTCACAGAACCAGGGTAGCCAGCACTTGCTGCCACCACACCCACAGCATACCTATCTGTATGCCACAAGGGTAGGGACAGGCTGAGGTCACCATTTACACACTCCATTAGGGTTGCGTAGAGATCGCTCTTCAGGAGTGGCATAATTACTTGTGTCTCTAAACAAAAAGCCATCCATTAAAAATGGTATTAATTCACATGACAGATAAGACCAATTCAAAAGATTCACTCCACTGCCACTGATAATTGTAGGTATAATTATTGACAGAATCGATCATTGTTCTGTTTCAAGTTTGACTGATTTGCAATACCTATAACATTATTACTTGTATATTAAATTAAATCCATCTGTATTTCCATCAAGTTTACGCAGAACTTTATTTGCATACTAGTACATATGCTGCAATCCGATGGATGAAGCTTTTTGTACACTATCAGAACTCATAATCTAATAGTCAAATGGAACCACTCATGAAGTTTTGGAGAACTTGAAAAGCTGTAGAAATACTCACCTACAAGTTATGAGTTTAGTAACTACGAGTTTATTCTGCAGTTCACTCAAGTCAAATGGAATGGCTTATCAAGATAAAACAAATAATCAGCTCTATTCTTACCTGGATCGCCAAACCGGCAGTTAAACTCTAGAACCCTGGGTCCATCAGCTGTTAACATTATCCCTGCAAATAGAACCCCTACAAAATCGCAACCTTCTTCTCTCAAACCATCAACTGCTCTTTGTAGAACATCTCTAGAAATTTCTTCCTTGAGCTTCATGGAGACCTAATTCATGGGTAAGAAAAAATACTTTAAATGGAACTTTCTTCTTCAACGAGCTAAACAATTTACAAACTAAGATTCATTTTCGTTCAAAAAAAGCTGCAGACCATGTAAAGGGACCTGTCAGCTGAGTACCAGTCTTCACTATTGGCCAAGTGTCAGTCGATATATAAACCGAGTACACTCAGTTGAACATCGGCTGCCATGTTCTCCAACTTGGTAGACCATTGGTCACCCCTATCGGTAGACACTTGGTGGTTGTTTTTCATTGAATTTCCCCGACTTACGTAAAGAACTGTTGGTGCAATGTCAGTCAACTGTCAGTGGTGTTTCACATGACCGACAGTGGTATATCGGTTTACTGCCATTAGTATATTGTGTATTGTTAACTGCTGTGTTGGCTGAAATAGTCTGAAATGTCAGCTGTCACCTCCCTATAAACCACAGAGGCCGAAAATGAAGACTCACCCTTACCTACACCCATCTGGGGATAAAGCAAGGATACAGCCATCACTTCAGATTATTGCTCAAATGCCATAATACATATCTTAAATAATGACAGTTGAGGTAACAACTGCTAAATGCCTACTATTTTATTCATGGTACATTTCAGACCTTGGCATTTCCTGTAAAAGTGATAAAGAAGAAAAGACGTAAGCTTTAAAAAGAAGTCTTTCACATAGATCAGTGATACTAAAATGCCACTGACGATAGCTTACAGAAATGAACATTACTAAGAGACCTACCTGGGGACAAGGGGCATATGCACCCATCCCTCCAGTGTTGGGACCCTGATCATTGTCTAACAAACGCTTGTGATCTTGGGCAGGAGGCATGACTGCTACTGTCTTACCATCAGTAAAACAAAGCACCTGAAACAGTCAACAGCAGTGATAAACTCCCTTGCACAACAATTCAATTCCACAAAATCTCCTCTTGGGTTTCCACGTACTGTAACTTATAACATAAAAAGTGTTTAGTTAATAATAGAAGACAAATCAAATAAATACTTACAGAAACCTCTTCTCCTTCTAATTTTTCTTCAACTACTATTGTTGATCCTGCCTCACCAAAGATCTTGTCCTAAGAAATGAATATAATTTTATTTACTGCCAAAGTTTTGACTCAAAGAAAATTAATGCGTCTTTTCAGAACACACAAACTCTTAAGTTCAAAAAATCTAATTGACATAAAATTTACGATAACAATCAACAAGCATTGAAAAAAAGGAACAAACAACATGGATCAAAATATAGCAGTTATTCCAACCTACACACAAGAACTTTTAAGCCAACTGAAATTGAGTGAAGTAGAACTGTTGCCTATCAGTGATCATTTTTCGTATGCGTGTGCTGCACACGGAATGTTTTGCCTACTGAGTTACGTACAAGTCACATCTCTCTAGCCTCATTTTAACATTTACTACTTCAATATTTCAATAGGGCTCTTGATCTGTATGACATTGAAAACATAAAAACCTGGAGAACAGTCTGTCCCAGATGTAACATAGCCAGGTCTCTTCTGTGCCTGCCCTTGAGCTGTTTCTAGCAATTTGAACTTTTTGTTTCCTGTTGATTCTTCTTGTTTATATATGAGTAGCTTAAGTTTAATTTTTAAGTACCCTGGGATCCACTGTAATTGGCTACACTGTAGTGGTCTCCCTGCCTAATGAATTTGTTGTATGTAAGTTAGTATTTTAGTTAGGCAAAGTTAAATAAATAAATGAACTACCCTAAGCATGACCCACCTGTAGCATATCTTTCACAGCCTTCATGGCCTCTTCTTTGCATTTAGCAACTACAACTCCTTTACCAGCCGCCAAACCACTAGCCTTAACCACCAAAGCTTCATAATCTGATAATTCAATATGTTTGCATGCTTGCTCCGCGTCTGTGAAAGCTTTCCAGCGTGCCGTGGGAATATTATGCCGCTGCATAAACTCTTTTGCAAATTGTTTACTGGACTCGATTCGGGCGGCACTTCGACTTGGCCCGAAACAAGGAATGTTGTTCTCTCTGAGACAGTCTCCCAAGCCATTAGCTAACGGTGCTTCAGGTCCAATTACAACAAAGTCTACCTTGCTTTCTACACAGTATTTTACAATGCTTTGGTTATCGTTCTGGTTGAGTATCGAGGAAAGAACATTCTGTGTTTTCGGCTGACCAGCAGTCCCAGCGTTACCTGGTGCAACGAGAATTGTTCCGACGTGGTTAGACTGTGCAAGCTTCCATGCTATAGCGTGTTCTCTTCCTCCTCCACCAACAATTAAAACTTTGTCTCCCATGTCGAGATGCAGTCAGTCTGATCTTTTCTAATCAAAAAGTTTTCGTGATGTTTCCTCAAAACGGCGCAAAGTGGCGCGCTTTAGGACCACGTGCAATGAGCTCAGCTGCCTAGCCTGTAACTACAGAGCGCTATATAGGACCCTGGGAACGACGTTGGGTGCGAAGCGCAAGCCAAGAAAAATCCAGCACTTTTTTTAAATTTTAGTGGCTCTTGCTAAGATTTTGTGTTTTACGTGGGTCTCACATGTAATTCGGGTAAAAGACCCTTAGCCACCCTCCTTTTTTAGGCAACATTATCCTATCCTTCAAATATGGTGATACGGTGGTAATATTGTCAATCTTTCGCCATTAATGGATGCCAGGTGCTTATCTCTTTGCGCCCACTCTTTGTTAAGGAAGTCTGCAATTTATTTCCGAACGAATTCCCTTTCCATTTTGACGTCAAAGAAAATTGGGGGTCTGGGGATAGTATGCGCCTCTTGTCGTTGTCAAGGGAACGCAATCAAAAGTCACGTGACGTCTCTTGGCAAAAAGGACAGAAATGGCAAAATGAGGTTGAGGAGTCGAGAATATTAGTGCGTTGCGATATTCAGTTGTAAATATTCAGTTGTAAATATTCAGTTTATAGGTATAATTTCAAGGGAGATTCCTTGCTAGTAATGATTAGTCTTATGGCAAATTGTTTTACTTGGGTGAAAAGAAGGAGGGAGCCATCGAAGTAGGTGGAAGAGTTGTGTGTCTTTAGCTTAGTAGATGTCGAAATTTTAGTTGAAGATGTGATTTGCCTTTTCGATGTACGATTTTACTTGAGATCTACCAATCTATGTTTTTTACAGGAAAGTTACTCTTTTAATGGTTGGCTTGGATAATGCGGGAAAAACGTCGACAGTAGCTGATCTAACTGGAGGTTTGTAGAATTAAAATTTAAAAACCAAATTTATAAGCTTAATACAAGGTTCAATCTTTAAATGCAGCCGGCGACGTAAGTTTACGTCACTCTTTAAGCTTAGCTAGAGTTTTCCAAGTACACTTATAAACTAAAAAAATAATAGGCTTGTGGCAACGAAATTTAACTTATTTCACATGCAAGGCGCGAGTTCTTGAGTAAATTATTTTGTCGTTGTCAAGCTTATAATGCTCTTTCCTGTCCTCACGAGCTTGCATGGTTGTTTGGGTCACGCTAGTGAGCATGGGTTCCTACATGATATTTCTCCTTAACATCTATTGTAAGGTGTTTTTGTTTTCCATTTTCCCGCGATTAAACGTATAAAATTTAAAGTTACCAGTGGCAGATGGACATGTTGAAGTATTGTCCATTAAACTTAAAGTTGTAGTTAGTGATGGTGGCTGTTGTAGGTACGCCCTTCACTTCCGTGATCTGGTTAACAGGGTTTGATGTGACCGACGATTGTCATTAACTCTATGTATGATCAAATACTATTCCTATGCATGGATTCTGTGCACTTTCTGTGTGGAATCACTATTGATAATATAAGATGAAGGCAAGTCCAAAAGGCTAGGAGATGCTTAATATGAATATGATGTTTCGATCAAGGTGATGCGCACACAAATGCTGTATTAAATAAACATGTTTATTTAATTACCATGGCTCGTATAACATGGCTCGGCGTCCAGTGTTTTCTACTTCACGCATGGCACCTAGCTATGAGTTATGTTTATCCAGGCTACAATTCATTTCTGTAATTTGGCCATTTCAGTACACCTTCATATTTTTATTGGATATTTTCCTCCCTCCCTTATTTTGAAATGTTGCATGACAATTCTTCAGCATCTGTAATGAACACCTTATTTGATAGTTTGGCAGATATTCCTTTGGCCTGGGTATTTTCCAAGTGACACAGTTGCTTATGATGTGTTTAGCTTTAGTTTATACATTTATGATTTAAGTAAATGCAAATCAAATGTTACAGTGGCTGAGGGTAAAAAGATTGATAAGCTATGCAAAAAGTGTTTTACAAAGACTGTGTAAACTGGTAAAAAGAAAACATGAAAAAAAAAGTAACATACCTCACTTAAAACATAAACATAATATAATTACAGTAACATCACCAGTCATTAAAGAAAATTGGATAACAGTGATTTAGTAAAAGAAGTGAGCATCTGCACCATACATGAATTGAAAACATAAAGTTCTGTTACAAAATACTCATAAGAAAATCTGAGAAATGAACTAAAAATGAAAATGAACTAACCCTATAGTAAAATGACACATGTATAATATAAAATAACTCTGTAATAAGACTTACAAACAGTTGAATAAATGCTCAACATGGGCCACTAAGCTGCTGACTGCATTTAAGAATTTTGTTAATATAAACAGTTAAATTAGTTTGGTTACAATAAATAATTATTACAATAAATTAATTATTAGTCTCAATTCTCTTTGCTTTTTGCAGATTCCACTGAGGGAATTACTCCAACTGTTGGTTTTTTAAACTCCTCATTCTCGCTGTACAGATTTAATGTTACACTTTTTGATGTCGGAGGTGGAGCAAGAATTCGCTCAATTTGGAAAAATTACTATGCAGAGGTAAGAAACACAATGTGACAGTTTTATTATGCTTTCAGTTGGTGCTGACTTGTGACCCACTTGTACTGGCAGCAGGTTACATTATGATACAGATATTAAATAAGGTGCATGTGTAAAAATTCAATTTCTCATCAAGAAACAAAACTGGCAAAAACAAGGCTGCCTTTAAGGAGTGATAAGAATAAAAATACAAAGGCAAGAATTAAAGATGACAATGAATGTAATTAAAAAATAAAAACAAAACAATTAAGGCTAGTTCAAGGTGAACTTGTAACTCTGCCTTGAGGTTTACTCTTATTGGAGTAGAATTCTTACTGATGTTGGTAGGGATAGTGGGTCATCAACCAGCTTATTTTATCTTTTAATATTTTTTTTTAAGTCATTTGGTATAGTGTTTGTTGTGGATGCCAGTGACACAGACAGGCTTGAGGAATGCAAGAAGGCACTTCATGAAACAGAGATGCAACCTCGTGTGGCAGGAAAACCTTTACTTGTGTAAGCATTCTGTGTCTAGATTGAAATAACATTAAACAGTGTGTTTATCTAGAGTTTGTTTTTTCAAGTTATAAACCTCATAGTGTTACAACTGTTTTAACATGTGATTTTCTGTTGACCTCATAACTTTACCTGGTGAACTAATAATCACAGCCTTTCCATTTCTTATCTTTTGTGTCTTATTACATGTATATTAGTATGTGTGGCAGTGACAATTTTAGCATATGATACAGCTGTAATTTTTCAAAAGGTGGAGAATTTTTGCTTTCACAACATGTTAATTTATTAATTTTTTTTAAGCCTTGGCAATAAACAGGACAATGAGGGAGCTTTGAATGAAGATGAATTACACAGACGACTTGAACTTGATACACTTATTGAAAAATACAAGTGTCCTTGCCAAGTGGTAAGTTAATCTTATCATAAAATGGGACTAAGAATTATGCGGAATGTATAATTACAGTGGAATCCCGATTTTTCAAACCTCCAAGGGAAACGAAAATTGGTTCAAAAAATTGGATAGTTCAAGAAATTGGGGGTAAAATTACGGTGTTTGACTGAGGAGAGGGAAACGACTTTTGGTTCGAGTTATTGGGAGGTTTGAAAAAATGAGGGTTTGAGAAATTGGGATTCCATTGTCATGATATTGCTGGAGTGTGCAATTTTGGCTGTACTTACTCTAGTTAAAAAATCCATGTAAAGTGGTATGTATATAAAAAAATAGACCTAACAGTTGACAAAAATATTTTTATGTTTGTAACTTTTGTCTAGTTTTGCTGTACAGCAGTGCTTGGTAAAGGGAATAAAGTAGACAGGCAAATAAAGAAAGGTAAGTGTATGTCATAATAATTGATTGATTCGAACGAAATCACTTTTATTGTTAACGCTGCAAACAGCACAAAGAAAAAATCCTGCACCACCAGTTTTTAATTATTATTTAGGGTGCATGTCCCTAAAATAGTGGTTTGATCTTCAATTCCTACACCTGCTTGTCATATCACGTGGATAGGTACACTGCACTTCAGTCTATGTTAATGAAAATCTGTCTCTTTAAAGCAAGTTTTTCATTTTGATTGCATTGTATCTCCTTGCAGGATTCCGTTGGCTTTTATCTGAGATTTCTAAAGATCATGTCAATCTGTCAAGAAGAATTGAGAAGGATGTGGCAGAACAGGTGAATATTAAAACAAATTGGTTTTGACTCAAAAATATGTATTTTAATAAAATTGAGCTGACTTCTTGTTATGTAGTCAACATAATGTCACCTAAAATAATTAATTAGTATTTTTGTTAAATGCTATGTTCAAACATTCAACACAATATTATTATTTGTTTTAATAATTTTGGTATTACTTCAGGTGATCTTCGTTGTATTGTCTGATAGTTTTGTAACTGATTCATAGTTAGGTGTCAGCGTTCCTTATTACAAGTGGAATGGAATACTGAAGGGTTTCTTTTTCCTTTCTTGTTGTAGAAAAAAGCACAAGATGACGAGAGAGAACGCAAGAGAGAACGAGTCAGAATAGCCAGAGAGGCAAGGTAAGTGATGTGGTGACATTCTGAACTCCTCTCAGTATTTAGGTGATTTAAGATCTGAGTAATGTGTTTCTAAAATATATTTTTTTTACTTTTTATTTGAATCACCTTTTGTGACCAGAGAGAAAGCTGAAAAGGAGGCTGCAGAGAGGGCCAAACTGCAGCAGGTAGAAGAATCAGATGATGGTGTTGTTGTTAGCAAGGTAACATACTATGAATAGCGGTAATGAATATGAGGAACAAAGAATAAATTAATAATACATGCTCAGTGTTTGGAAATATTATGTTCTTAGTTAGTATACAGCCTTTAATCCCCAGGAGGAGTGGGATTTATAACAGACTAAAATGAAAGAAAAATTTAGTTAGTTACTAGAGTCCTTGTCACTGTTGTCCACAGCTTCAGGGGTGCTTTTAAATATTAAATACATAGGCAACATTAAACAATTTTAGCAAATACTGCAAACCAACATATTACCAAAACAAGGTCACTGATTAAGTATCACACAATGATTAAGTAGAGCCTGGCCATCTTGGCTCAGGCCAAATTACAGCTGAAAAAAATTGACCAGCAGAATTTGTGTTGCCTGTGCAAACTTTCCATTCAATTGCCATTGAGCAGTGACGAAGAAACAGCAGTTAGACACAAGTCAATTATAAGTTACATATAGAGGCTGTATGAGCAAACAATTCTGGAGCTCTGCTGGGTGGATGAATTTTTGTGCTGATTTCATTAATATTCCATCTTTAAAATTAGGACAAAGAGAAGAAGAAGAAAGAGCAGAATACACCAGAACCACCCACCTCACCTAGGAAGAAGAAAAAGGGAAAAGAAACTAGTCCTGAGCCAGATGCAACAGAGAAGATAAAGAAGAAGAAAAAAAAGAAGAAACCCAAACTTTCAGAAGACCAGGAAATACCAGAAAATACAAGAGTAAGTTTGAGAAAATTCCCCTTACATGTATTTCTTTCAAAGCAAAATAAACAAAAATAACAGACAGAAAAAGGAAATCAGTGTAAATTATTTGATTTAATGGTTCTAAACTGTACTTGCTCCTGTTTTCATCAAGCAACAGTCAACTCAGCTATGACTTGTTGACCATCGAGTATAAAAAAAAAATCAAGCTCAGGGTTTACTTTTTTATCCTCAAGTAGACTTGTAGTAAAAGTGTGTTATTTGGAAAATGCAACCAAGAATTTTCCCTTGATTTTGTGAGCAGGTGGAGGATGATGCTTCTGATAGGCTCAGTCCTGTAGATACACACTTCAAGGACGATAGGATAGAAACTCCTGATGAAACTAAAGAAAATTTACAAAAAGGAAGTGGTAATGAACTGAATGAAGGCTTGCCAGTAAATGAAAATACCACATCCGAAGAAACGGAGGTGAAGAAGAAAAAGAAGAAAAAGAAAAAGAGAAAGCTAAATAAAACAGCTCCCATGGAAGGTGATGACACTCACTATGAGCTACCACGCCCTGCATGGGACACTCTGCCTGGTACATTGAATGGACTACCAGCAAGTGCTGGACTGTCTCCAAGAAGATTAGAGCCCTTAGGACCACCACACCTGCCAGGTACTGTGTTTCGGATGAAATACAACTGTCATGGTTTACCGTTGAGAACTCATTGTTTAAAAAGTTGCTAGATCCTTGAAAAGTTTTTAAAAAATGAAAAGAAAAAGAAAAAGAAGAAGAAGAAGAAGAAGAAGAAGAAATTATTTAGTATGTTTAGTAAGGTTGATTGTTTTCTAGATGGTATGTTTAGTAAGGTTTATATATTTAGTGGGGTTTTTGCTATTTATTTATTTATTTATCTTTTTTTTACTTTGTACCACCCTGTGTAGACAAAATGTCTGAGTGATCCTGAGAAAATAGCTTGCGCTTGAAATTTTGCTTCATTAAATTATTGTTCTTACAAAATCATTGAAAAAATATCCAAAGTCTGTATGACCCATAACTGAGGTTTCAACTCTTCAATAAACTTATTAATTTCAACATATGAATTTGTCTTACTGGTCAACACACACATTATTTTCTTGTTTACTTAAAAGTGGGGGGGATTTAGTCACAGACTAAGACGTTTTTCTCCTTGGTGATCAGTTTGTGTATTTCGAACCCTCCTCATATAAGTAGTGCAAGACTGTGTTGTAAATGTGTATCATGTGCAAGACCCTGTTACAACATTAAATAGCATAATCCTCAATTTATTTGATTGATATTCATCGTTCTTGTATTTTAGCCTCTCTCTCAGGCGGCAGAGCTTTTGGATCAGCGTCAATACCAGAAGGCGATGAGGTATGTCTAAGAGTTGGTGAAAAATGCATGAAAGTTTGTGTCAACAGAAGCTCTAGGCCAAAGTTTACACTTGCATTCAAGTGCAATTTAGAGTTCTGATGCAGGTTAAGGTATCCCTAGATGGGAGTCTATCACAGAATTTCCCCTCTGGCCACTGGTTGGATCCAGACTGCTTCATCGTGACCATAACTTCTCTAGAAATAGTAATTACTTCCACCCAGGTCATGGGCAATTGTGAGATTTGTTTCTGAAGTTCAAAATGAAACTGACAAAAATTAAAGAGTAGTGTTGTTGTTGTTGTTATTTTTTTTCATGAATTGTCCATAAACTAGCTGCCTGCAGGTACATATAAGATGGACCAAATATCTAAATCTGCCCATTAAAAATAATTGTTTCTTGGGGTAACTTGTGCTATTATTAACAATGAATCTGGAGCTTATTTTATGTTCATTGTAAGTTTGTGTATTTTATCTTATATACAAGCTTAGTATTTACTGACAAAATAATTTATTTAGTATGATCTCTCAGATAATCACCTGTAAAGTAATACTTTTTCTTGTTTACTCTAGGACACCAACTTTCTGCCCCCTTTACGAGGGACATCTTGGACAAGAAACAGACCCAATAGTGAAGATTATGATGTAGTTACATAGGAAAATAATATTAATTAGTAGAGTTGATGTGAACTGTTATTTTCCCAGCCACAGGAACAACACATTGGTATCTGCAGAGTTATTCTTCCTGATGGATCTCATTTTTTAGTATTAGTTCAAAGAATTTGATGATAATGTCATCAATAGTTATGAACGAGCTTTCTGGTAGTACTATTAGTATTTTTCTTATTGTCATCGTCAAGTTTGTGCATGCATGACATAATATAACAAAGACAAAAAACCAATGACCATGTTTCCAAACGAGGCATAGCAGAGTACTTTTGCCGAACTTCAAAGTGTTTAGAAATTTGGTCAAATGCTGTCTTGATTGCTTGATAGATCTGCTCAGTTGAAACTGAAACTAAGGAGAAAATGGAAAAATAAATTTGAAAATCTATCATTAAGATGAGATATCCAAACCAAATGCAGTTGTGGTTTCCTTTGTTTAAAGTTTATGAATTATAAAAAGAGTTTCAGAATTTTTATATCTATATCAGGGAGAAACCAGATGTTGATCAGGCCTTACTACGATTATCAGTATAATAAGGCACAAGGAAAGTTTTGTGACCAGGTTTTAACATTCAACTTGTGTTTTTTAATATTCAACTTGTGTTGCTGTCACGGGCAACTGGCTCCATTTCCAGTGGCAACTTGTTGGCATTGACGTCAGTGGCAGCAAAGCATGCAGAATTTCAGGTGATGATATTGTTACCATTGGAAAGGAGGAAAGTTGCCCATGGTAGCTCCATATTTATGTCCAAAACGTTGTCTTCAAAGCTCATTCATGCATCAACTCAACTGATAATCGTAGTAAAGGATTTTTATTAGAGTTTTGTTTTTCTCAAAGGGCTCTTTATCTGAATGTTTTTATGAAAACTAAGCAAATGACTCCTGCTGGTCATTGAGTCAGAAAAACGGACCTGATAGGCCTACTGTGATTTAGCTGTCACACAAGTTTTCATAATTTTAACCATCACACTTTAATTTGTAATGTCAGTAACTTACTGAAAAGGAAGTGTCACATAATTTATTGAAAGTAAACTATTGTTTCTTAAGATTTTAGTAAAGAAGCGGCAGATTATTAACTTATATAGATTGAGGATTGCATGACAATGCAAATGCCTTTTTAGCATGTGTACAAAAGTGAAAAAAATCATGCAGCCTTGCCATTCTTCTTTACTACTAAAATGTAAATATGTAAATTCAATATTACATTTATTGATCTAATTGTATATTGTGTTGTCTAGTCACTATAAATTAATCAATTAATACCGAAACACGCAACACAAAAATATTGATATGTTGAAGGTGATCCCAAACTTGTGGTGTGAACATCCCTGCTACCAGTAGCGAAGATTGTTGTTGTACTACAAAGAAGTTACTCAATGAGAAAGTTGCTCTTCTTTTTTGAATTTTTCACCTTTTATGGCTAGTTGGATCCCAGATGAGAGGTACTTAAAATTTTTATATCTAGAGGCTCCACCCCAAGGTCCAAATTTGTACCCTTTTATATCTGTTTTGGATAGAAAAGGTAACCCTTTCATATACCTTCCATAGGCATCCACGGTCGAGTGTCGATCAATACCCTCAAGCGACATCTTGATCGACATCCCAATCGATTCTCCACCAACACTCGATCAACACTTGATCAACAGTTGGACAATAGTTGGTCGAGTGTTGACTGATTGAAAATTAGTCGACTCTCAACCAGCTGTCAACCAAGATGTCAATTAATTTAAGTGTCAACCCAGGTGTGGATGGAGTGTCAATCGAGTATCAATCGAGTGTCAATGGAGGGTATCGATCGACACTCGACTGCAGATGGCTTTAGTACACATGATCTGGAAATGGTACCCCTTTGACATATTTACAGTATGCTCTTTTACCAACCATAAAAATTCCTGCAGAACAGGAATACTAAAAACAAACACTACAAAAAAAAGCTGTCGTTTCTCAACTGGTCACTATTACACCTTCAAAGTATCTAAATGACAGTATTTCTACCCTTTTCTATACTTTAACCTGCGAAAACCCTACCCTTTCCAGGTTTTATATATCTCCATTGCAAGGAGTACACACCCACCCCCCTCTCCCCGTCCCCGAAGCCTTTTGAAGAACACACTTTAGCTTATGGCCGGCCCAGGTTGTTCGAAAGGGATAGCGCCAACCACCGGATAAATCACTATCCAACGGATAGCTTGGTTTGTTTTGTTAACACTTGTCCACAGGTNACTACAAAAAAAGCTGTCGTTTCTCAACTGGTCACTATTACACCTTCAAAGTATCTAAATGACAGTATTTGTACCCTTTTCTATACTTTAACCCGCGAAATCCCTACCCTTTCCAGGTTTTATATATTTCCATTGCAAGGAGTACACACCCACCCCCCACTCCCTGTCTCCGAAGCCTTTTGAAGAACACACCTTAGCTTATGGCCAGCCCAGGTTGTTCGAAAGGGATAACGCCAACCACCGGATAAATCACTATCCAACGGATAGCTTGGTTTGTTTTGTTAACACTTGTCCACAGGTAGCGATAGCGTGATCCAACCTTCGAACAATTGGGCCGCGGTAACTGAACCGGCATTTTTTTTATGATGGCGTACATGAAGCAGGTACTGGGATGACAGGGTTTGTAACCGAAACAAACCTCACTGCATGGGTGCACATGACTCAGCATTTAGCCTGAGTTAGTTTACCTGTGAACGTGGTTTGCATTTGGAGCTGCTATGAGCAGTCAGAAAGCGAAGGTATTAATTGACATCATCTCTGACACCATCTGACCATGGTATGTGCTCCATTGGTGTTGTTTGTTTCACTTGGCTAAGGAGACAGTTATGTGAAAGGCGTGTTTCAATCCCGGTGAAATATACAGTACATATATAAGTCTTATGCATCGGTGATTATATCCATTTTACGCTGATTTTACAGCTAAAAAAGCATTTAATTAACACAGACACCGGACATTTTTCTGTGACCCAAGTGACTCAAATAAGCTAACCTTCCTTTATGATCTTTTTAATGTGCCATTGTAACCTGTTGAAATTTTGTCGTTATTAAAACTGATAAGTTGATTTTAGTGTGTTGACTTAAGCTTATAGATGAGTACAGCTTCTTAGTTTGAACTTAAGATTAGGATTACAGATATAATTATACAGATGAAAAAAAAAATTCATTCTGATTGGCTGAGCAGTGCAGTGCAAGTGCACTACCAGTGCAAAAAGTGTAACACCAGTGCAGATATCCAAAGTTATCTGAATTTAAGTGCTAAGACAATTCAAGACAGCACTACTAAATTTGTCATCTGAGGTGTCTCGAAGGCCTTTGAAGGTCACTCAAAGTCTTCCAAAGATAGCTGTGGATAAGTAGTTGTTTTCTGAGCAATTTCGAAGATCACCTGAACCCCTGCGATTGTTAGCAAAAATCAACAGAAAATTCTCAAGCACCTGCAAATGTCACCCAAATGCTTCCAAAGATTTCTGAAGAACATCCTTCAGATTGTCTGAGATTGCAGAAGATCACCCTAAAATTGCTTAAAATATTCCAAATTATATAATTTATTGCAAGTTTTGCAAATAATTTTGGACAATTGTGGAGGGCCAAGAGCACTGCTGCCTTCCTATATTTAGTAAACAATTACAGAATGACAAAGACCTTAAGTAGGGTCACTCTGTTCTTCCCTCAGGTGTTTTGTTGGAAAGCGCCATCTGGAAGAAGCCATGAAGGTGTTTTCCAACGACTTGCTCTTTGAGGTCACATGGAAGCCATTCTTCTTGAACCCCTCAACTCCAGAAAGTGGCATCCCTCTTATCCAGTATCTGACACAGAAGTATGGACCCAGAGCAGGAGCCATGGCCAAGGATGGAACAAGCCCGTTGACAAAAGCAGGGATGAATGTGGTAATTAAATCATGTCACAGTTTTGGCCACTGTTTTGTTGGGAAGGCAGACACATCAAATTAACTTCGTGTTAGAATATAACGGGAATCATTGGATCATGTATACTAAAGGCATCTGCGGTCAAGTGTCAATCAATGCTCCCGATCGGTACTCTCGATCGGCACCGTCGATCAACTTCTCAATCAATACTTGATCTACATCCCGATTGATACTTGGTCAACACTCTATCAACACTTGATCGACATTCAGCCGATAGTCAGCCGGGTGTCGACCGACTCGTATGAATTGATTGAAAATTAGTCAACACTCAACTGAGATGTCGATGGAGTGTCAATGGAGTGTCAACCGAGTTGTCGATGGAGTGTCCATCAAGTATTGATCAAAGTTTGATTGAGGGTATTGATTGAGGGTATCGATTGACACTCAACTGCGGATGTAACGAGTCCCCCAAATTTGGTTCTGGATTCTGATACAAACACTTATTTTCCACATGAGTGCCAACCACAGATAATCAGCATTTATCTACAACAGTTACGAATGAAATGTTTCATTTTCACTGAGAATGTGTTTCCAGCTATATCTTCCAAGTTCTTCTGAGTCAAAGGCGTGAGATTATTTATTATGAGAATTCTAGAATATTATTGTCAATGATAACTTAATGACCACATCTGAACATGTCTGAAGATTTCCAAGAGTTTAGAAGACATTCTAAATATTTCCAAGTCTGAGTAGTTTAGTCCTATTGGCTTGAGATTGGGATTTTGGATCATGTGTACTAAAGGCAGCCGCTGTTGAGTGTCGAGCAATGCCCTGGTTCAACTCTCCATGGATACTTGATCGATACTTGATCAACACTCCATCGACACCACGGTTGACCCTCAATTGACACTCCATCGACATCTTGGTAGACAGTTGACTAATTTTCGATTGATGCATATGAGTCAGTCGACACTCTGCCTATCTGACTATCGACCGACTGTTCATCAAGGGTCAACCGAGTATCACTACCATTTGAGATGTCGATCAAGGGTATCGATCAAGAGTATCGATGCAGCATTTTTACAACCTAGAGATACAGGACTCTTTCCTAAGGCTTGAGAGCTGGTAGATATTGACAAGTTTAATTGTCAATGGTTAAGCTTTTCATTTCATGATATTCTGTAGCATGTTCATTTTATGGGATGCTTGACTTCACAGCATTTGTGTTCCAATTGATGTGAAATGTGGAAGGTGTCATCCCTTTATAATGAAACTTTAGTGTTCAAGCGTAATATCAGTACTTAGCATGTCTACAATATGCTTCCCATGTAGAGGATTCTTTCTTTAGTAGGGTTGACATCACGAATTTGTCAACAAGTAGAAAAATCATCAACATTCATTTTGTGGTCTGAAAATAAGGGTCCTGACATTCAATCATTAAGGTGCTGTGCAAATTTAATTCTAGAACATAGTAGAAAATAGCCCATTAAAGACAATACTTGTGCTGGTTGGTTTAAAATCATGTTTCTATAACTTGATAGGAACACAGAACTAGAATAAGCTGTAACACCCACAGCATTTCTCGTTCTCCCAAACTTCCACTTGTGTTCCTATAACTCGATAGAAACATGGTACATGTTTTCTATTTCTTAATTAACTAAATGTATATAGTGCATTGAATTGATAGACAAACATTTTATTTTCCTGAGATTCTTTTCCTGTTCTTCATCACAGGGTATAAACTTCAGAACAGATCGCCTTATAGTCAACACTTTAAAATCTCACTGTTTGCTGGATTATGCGAAGTCTGAAGGCAAACAAAATCTCCTCGCAGAAAACATGTTTGTGGCATACTTTGAGCAGTGCAAGAATATCAACTCTGTTGATGTTCTTGCACAACTTGCTGTGGACGCTGGTCTCAACCTGGAAGCTATGGAAAAGTGAGAATCATCAATCACTTATTTTATATGTTTTTGTTCAATTGTAGTAATTTGTGCCACAATGTTACAGGCGAGTGAATGCCCCCTCTTTTAAAAGCATGAGATGTCTACTTCTTTGGGGGGATGTTGGCATAAGTCAGAAGAGGCATTTATAAATCAGTCAGACAGTCAGTCAGTCAGTCCATCAGTCCATCAGTCAGTCCATCCATATGTCTGTCTGTCCATCCGTCCATCAGTCAGTCAGCCTGTCAGTCCTAGTCAGTCTACCAGCCAGCCAGCCAGCCAGTTGCATTCAGTTGGTCTGTCTGTCTGTTTGACTGTCAGTTTGTAGAGCAGTTCATTCATTTTTCAGAAACTTACTTCAATTTCTGTCATTTTATCAAACAATAATTCTGAAACCTGTCCCAGCATTTTGGCAAATTTTCAAATATTTAACAGCAACTTCACGCATTTGGCTTATTGAATTTTTTAATTGTAAGTTGGCCGGAGTATTAGCCTCTTGCTGATGAGTCAGTGATTTATTTAGGCACGTGAAAGATTCATCAGTTGTTTCACGAGTGCAAGAGGAAGCCGTGGAGGCTCGCAGTGAAGGTGTTAATGGAGTACCATTCTTCAACATTCAGGTCGAGGGCGAAGACCAGAAGATTGCTTCATTCTCAGGTGCACAACCACCTGAAACATTCAAGACCATCTTCCAGCGTTTGCTGACACGACTTAAGTCTAGAGTTTAGAATGAAACTTTCCCAATTATAACTTGGTTACAGTTTTTGTTAATGAATTAGCAATGAATCACTTTAAATGGTATGCCACTGGTGCAGAAAGATCTTTTCTGACTGCATGATTATCTTGGAACAAATACCTACTGCTCCAGGATTTGATGTTGAAAGTCACAAGAGATCAACACTACACAAGAAAAGAAATATTTACACATACATGTTATTAAGTTGGAACATTGAAGTACAGGCTGATAACAATATTTATCATTAGTCAGTATAAATTATCTTGGTAGTTAAGTTTTTAGAAGGAAATCACAGTTACAAAACTACGTTTTTGAGCATAAGATGTTTAGCACACTATATTATAATGGTTTGCATGCTTAGGAGAGTAACCTTAGTTTGGCAAAATAGTGCTTGTGCGAGGAGCTTGTGACAAAATGATTATCTTAGAACCAAGTGTTTAGCAGAATTCTAAGATTTGATGTTGACAGTCACAAGGGTCAGTTGTTTGAGGGTTATCCTATAATGTGCACTTAGCTTCAGAACTGATTTGAAGTGGAGCTGTTAAGCTTCCTTATCAGCTCTTGGTATCTCACTAATATACACTTCTGCACCCCACTAAGCTACAAGGGGCCTGGGGGGACTCCCATATAAGAAGGCTGGGGCTGCTCGCTGGAAATTTTGAAAAGAACACCTAAGAGGTACCAAGATCCTGTTTTGTGGGCATCGCTTGAAACCTTTTTCACCTCTAAGAGGAACGAATTCTAAAACAGCACGTTATCTCACGCTGTTGACCTTTTGAGACTGAACACCCTAAGAGGTACTAAAACCGTGTTTTTAACCCCTAGAAGGTACAACAAGCAGCACTGTCCCTTTTTATTTGAGAGTCCCCCCAGGGGAGGGAGCTAAGGAGCTTGCTTTTCCCCCTACCTGAGGGTAAAAGCATGCTTTTTGGTAAACGAACTATCAGTTGGTGAACTGCATGTGTGATCAGATGTGTTTTTCTGATTCTCTGTAAACTTGGCGAGTAAAGGTAAAATTGGTACTTTGTAACTGTGATGTGTTCAATGCTTCTGGTTCAACAATAAAGCACTATCGTCTGTGTCACGATGTAGTCATCTGATTACTGGCAGTCTTTATGGGGCGATGAGGTGGAATGATTGCGCTTCACCTTACATGGCATGATGGTTGGTTTTGATATGCTCATTTCCGCTGATGGTTACCGGTTGTTTAGTCCCCAAGTCGATTAGTCCCTAGCCGGTTAGCCCCCAAACAGAAATCGATTAGTCCCCATTCACTCTTAAAGAACAAGAAATAGACAGTGTTATCGACTTTTGGTTGGGGGCTAATCGACTTCTGGTTGGGGCCTTGACAGTTAGGGGCTAAACAACCGGATACCCCGCAGAGAAGTCGTTCCCTCGGGCATCCGTCATTGTAACGTTCTCCTTTTGTTGTATTTCTAAACCTTGGGCATCCATGCTTCTGGAATCTCAACTCCGCTATCCCTGTGGATTGTTTTAGGATGAGGTATTATGTGAATAGCGTGTTGGACCCTGCGTGTGTACCGGTGAGGGTCTCGATGAATAAAGTGTACTCCGAAATGGCGGAGTTCTGGTTGTGGCAAAGTTGAATATGTCCTTGACACTTTCATGTTACGCGCTGATTTTCCAGTTTAGCCGATGGGTTACGGTGGAAACAAGAAGCTTAAAACTAGTGGTCGAAGACTGACTTTTTTGTAAAAAATAAAAGTCTTACCTCTTTTTGGCTAAAAAAAAAGATTACGTTTCTCAGTGAGACATTAGTCACGCGATTTGCATTATAATCGTGTTTAATAATGTTGGTTTCAAAAGGTCCGTTGCCTCCTCTTGATAATGAAGCGGTCTTGTTATTGTTTACCACATGAACTGTTCTTTAACACATTGGGAAATCTTCAAATGTATAAAGTTCTCTCTTTCATTCATTTTCTGCATTTTTTTTCTTATAAAGAGTACTGACAATTCATGGCCAGCAAGCATAACTGACCGATTTAAAAGGTGATGTTTTGCTTTCACAATTTCAACTCTCTGAAATTGCGCAGGTCATTTTAGTCTGACAAACTTCCTTCATTGTGACTGGCTGTGAACAGGCCAATTTATCATTAATTTTCCCAGTCATATAATAAATGAGTAACCGTGTGAAAACCCTAGCAATTAAGGATTTACACTACTCGTGATATTTGAAAATTCTTTCAAATTACACTCGCCTAAAGGCTTGTGCAATTTTGAGAAAATTCTTTTTCAAATATTACTCGTAGCATAAATCCTTAATTTCACCCGCATTCATACGATTACCTATAGAAATATACTGATAGATCGTCTATAAAGGGACCAAAATAACCTGCGCAATCTCAGCGAGTTTAATTTGTAAAAAAGAAAAATCAGTCAATCAACTGAAGTTGCCATCTTCCCGGCCAGCTTTCTCATCATTTTTGGCCGAGTGGGGTACGGGGTGAGTCACAGACAACTAAACCCGCCGTGAATAGCATATGTACTATTCCAATATGACTCCGAGGATTTCTACCCAAAATTACAGATTTTCTAAGGTTTCTGTCTGGTAACTCCTGAAAGGAATTTCATACAAAGTAAAGATGTATGGCAGAAAGTGAGATGTTAGAATTTTGATACAGAGAGTCAACTCGGGCTATTATGACCCGGGATCTCCCCAGGCCTCCTGGTCTTTCCCGTATATGATGAAGAAGGAAAAAACACCTTTTGATCTGATATTTTATTTCAGTAATCTGTCATAGATACAATATGAGCGGTGAGTCTGCGTGGGTGTTCACAAGCGAGAAGACGGACGCAAATATTATATTGCAACGGACGTAATTGTGGAAAATTATTTACTTTTCCTTTTTTTAACCCGTGATTGCGTAAGCAAGTTTGGGTTGTAGTGACGGCACAGATTACGTAAATGAAGTCGGCCGATCATCTGTTAACTTCCCATCGTAATTCTGCTTTTTTCGCGCGCATATTATATCGTTTCACATCTCTAGGACAACGGCTACGTTACTGCGAGTGTAGAACTAAAAAATGGAACTGTTGGTTCAAATAACTCAAATGAAATGGTTGGTAAAACTTCTGGCTAAATTGATGATCAGGGGAAGTGTTAATGACAGCTTATAACTGTTTTTATTTTTTTTATATATCTGTCTCAGGTTGTGTTAAAATTTCCGCTACATTTGTTGGTCGGGAAAGTGTTTTAATCTCAATCGTTCGGGCGTACGTCACGCAAAGGCGACGTAGTCACGACAAGATCAGGAACTTTACGCAAAACACGACGGCAACGGCAACGAGAACGTCACCAAACAAAAGGTTTAATGAGCTAAACAATGGCTGTGCACGTGCATTATAATTAGTGATACATTTCTTTGCCTTCCTCTGCAAAACAGTAACGTGAAATTACCAAATTCTACGTTGTGTGGAGAACGTGAACCACAACGGCTAATTTTTCGTATTTCTATTTGGAACTGAACGTATTCGTAGCATGTTCAACAGGGGCGAGTTTTAATACCGACAAACACACCGAATAGATCTAAATCAATGAGAAATTCAAAAGTAAAATAGAAACGTCCTCGCCATCGCCGTCGTATATGCGTGAGGTCCCTACTGTGTTACCATGTTGGCAAACAGTTTCTCAAATAACCTTTCTGCCGCGGGGCATAAAGTCAGGAGAAATTATCCTTGTGAAAGTTGTCAGAAGCATCATTTTCAGTTAAACTGAGAAGCTGAAGTTTTCGTTATTGCTTATGTTATTTTTGCTCTTTAAAACATTACCTGTCTTTTTTATGGTAATTACATATTACGCAAAGGTAAATTCATGTCAGTCATCACTCACTGAGAAATTCACCGGTTTGCTCATACAGCACTTTGACGTTCTTAAGCTTCAAAACGATACAATGATGTAGGCAGTTGTCCCCTTTCTCACAAACTACCTCTTCAAACGCGTTGACCCTGATAAACAACGAAGGTTGAGTAATGAGTACAACAGGCCAACTGAAACGGAGGTTCCAGAGAGGAGGCTGTGTCTTTCTGTCCATTCTGCATCTATATTTATACAGAACGCTTCTTCTGTATAAAAATCGCAGAAAACATATTCTGAATAGGGGTATAAAAACAGCGCGGTCATGTGATTGTAATAGCGCGTTTTCATTGGGTCCATTCCTTCTGAATTATTAATGCGTTTAACAATATTCCAAAGCCCTCCCCTCCCTCCCCGCTACAAACACTTGCATCCCAGCAAAGTATGAAATAATCCTACTGGCGACAACAAAAACGTTTACACAACTTTATTTCTTACCGTTTTTCACGTTTTAAACGCGTTTACCTCCCCATATAAATATTTAATTTGTTTCTATATAAAATAACTCAAAATTTTTAAAATTGAATTTAAAAGTCTGCGAAGTGATAATGACGAGGAGTGTCAACTCTCGGCCGCTGGGCTCACGTTGGCCGCGCAAACGATAAGCCTGTTCTTGACCGGATGTGTTTCCACAGTGAGTTCATTACTTGAAGCTTCCGTGTCAAGGTTTAGGAGATACACAGATCTGTTGCCCTGCAAAACAGTAACAGCATGAAAAGCCAGTTTAGTGAAGAATATGGCCAATCAGGAGGCTGGAAATTCATCAAATATTTGGCGGTAACATCCGAACCCTCTGTGTTGTACCCAATGATATTTTCCCGCCAAAATGTGCCTGATCCCAGCGTTCGTCGCAGCTTCAAAAGATTTTCCCGCCATTACACGCCGCGTCCGTCGCAGCTTACATGTTATTTTCCGTCGAAATGTCAGCGTGGCATAGTGAAATATTCAGGTCAAGAGCGGGAAAAGCTTCAAGCAGAACTAAACAAAATCAAAAGTAATCCCTTGCGCAGTGAACCAATCAGAAGTCGTAATTTGTAGCCGGTGCGGTATTCGGCAAAATCACCTAAACCCTAGTCTCAACAGCTAATTTCGATAATCTACTAGTGTCCTACGCAGACCTTGTTAGAGCTCGTCACGCAATCTTCCTCCCGAAGATTGCGTGACGAGCCCCAAGAACGTCTACGTACAACGTAGGAGGCTGATAATTTACTAGCTATATAGAATTCTTGAAGGTCCCTTACCTGTANAAACAGAAATCGATTAGTCCCCATTCACTCTTAAAGAACAAGAAATAGACAGTGTTATCGACTTTTGGTTGGGGGCTAATCGACTTCTGGTTGGGGCCTTGACAGTTAGGGGCTAAACAACCGGATACCCCGCAGAGAAGTCGTTCCCTCGGGCATCCGTCATTGTAACGTTCTCCTTTTGTTGTATTTCTAAACCTTGGGCATCCATGCTTCTGGAATCTCAACTCCGCTATCCCTGTGGATTGTTTTAGGATGAGGTATTATGTGAATAGCGTGTTGGACCCTGCGTGTGTACCGGTGAGGGTCTCGATGAATAAAGTGTACTCCGAAATGGCGGAGTTCTGGTTGTGGCAAAGTTGAATATGTCCTTGACACTTTCATGTTACGCGCTGATTTTCCAGTTTAGCCGATGGGTTACGGTGGAAACAAGAAGCTTAAAACTAGTGGTCGAAGACTGACTTTTTTGTAAAAAATAAAAGTCTTACCTCTTTTTGGCTAAAAAAAAAGATTACGTTTCTCAGTGAGACATTAGTCACGCGATTTGCATTATAATCGTGTTTAATAATGTTGGTTTCAAAAGGTCCGTTGCCTCCTCTTGATAATGAAGCGGTCTTGTTATTGTTTACCACATGAACTGTTCTTTAACACATTGGGAAATCTTCAAATGTATAAAGTTCTCTCTTTCATTCATTTTCTGCATTTTTTTTCTTATAAAGAGTACTGACAATTCATGGCCAGCAAGCATAACTGACCGATTTAAAAGGTGATGTTTTGCTTTCACAATTTCAACTCTCTGAAATTGCGCAGGTCATTTTAGTCTGACAAACTTCCTTCATTGTGACTGGCTGTGAACAGGCCAATTTATCATTAATTTTCCCAGTCATATAATAAATGAGTAACCGTGTGAAAACCCTAGCAATTAAGGATTTACACTACTCGTGATATTTGAAAATTCTTTCAAATTACACTCGCCTAAAGGCTTGTGCAATTTTGAGAAAATTCTTTTTCAAATATTACTCGTAGCATAAATCCTTAATTTCACCCGCATTCATACGATTACCTATAGAAATATACTGATAGATCGTCTATAAAGGGACCAAAATAACCTGCGCAATCTCAGCGAGTTTAATTTGTAAAAAAGAAAAATCAGTCAATCAACTGAAGTTGCCATCTTCCCGGCCAGCTTTCTCATCATTTTTGGCCGAGTGGGGTACGGGGTGAGTCACAGACAACTAAACCCGCCGTGAATAGCATATGTACTATTCCAATATGACTCCGAGGATTTCTACCCAAAATTACAGATTTTCTAAGGTTTCTGTCTGGTAACTCCTGAAAGGAATTTCATACAAAGTAAAGATGTATGGCAGAAAGTGAGATGTTAGAATTTTGATACAGAGAGTCAACTCGGGCTATTATGACCCGAGATCTCCCCAGGCCTCCTGGTCATTCCCGTATATGATGAAGAAGGAAAAAACACCTTTTGATCTGATATTTTATTTCAGTAATCTGTCATAGATACAATATGAGCGGTGAGTCTGCGTGGGTGTTCACAAGCGAGAAGACGGACGCAAATATTATATTGCAACGGACGTAATTGTGGAAAATTATTTACTTTTCCTTTTTTTAACCCGTGATTGCGTAAGCAAGTTTGGGTTGTAGTGACGGCACAGATTACGTAAATGAAGTCGACCGATCATCTGTTAACTTCCCATCGTAATTCTGCTTTTTTCGCGCGCATATTATATCGTTTCACATCTCTAGGACAACGGCTACGTTACTGCGAGTGTAGAACTAAAAAATGGAACTGTTGGTTCAAATAACTCAAATGAAATGGTTGGTAAAACTTCTGGCTAAATTGATGATCAGGGGAAGTGTTAATGACAGCTTATAACTGTTTTTATTTTTTTTATATATCTGTCTCAGGTTGTGTTAAAATTTCCGCTACATTTGTTGGTCGGGAAAGTGTTTTAATCTCAATCGTTCGGGCGTACGTCACGCAAAGGCGACGTAGTCACGACAAGATCAGGAACTTTACGCAAAACACGACGGCAACGGCAACGAGAACGTCACCAAACAAAAGGTTTAATGAGCTAAACAATGGCTGTGCACGTGCATTATAATTAGTGATACATTTCTTTGCCTTCCTCTGCAAAACAGTAACGTGAAATTACCAAATTCTACGTTGTGTGGAGAACGTGAACCACAACGGCTAATTTTTCGTATTTCTATTTGGAACTGAACGTATTCGTAGCATGTTCAACAGGGGCGAGTTTTAATACCGACAAACACACCGAATAGATCTAAATCAATGAGAAATTCAAAAGTAAAATAGAAACGTCCTCGCCATCGCCGTCGTATATGCGTGAGGTCCCTACTGTGTTACCATGTTGGCAAACAGTTTCTCAAATAACCTTTCTGCCGCGGGGCATAAAGTCAGGAGAAATTATCCTTGTGAAAGTTGTCAGAAGCATCATTTTCAGTTAAACTGAGAAGCTGAAGTTTTCGTTATTGCTTATGTTATTTTTGCTCTTTAAAACATTACCTGTCTTTTTTATGGTAATTACATATTACGCAAAGGTAAATTCATGTCAGTCATCACTCACTGAGAAATTCACCGGTTTGCTCATACAGCACTTTGACGTTCTTAAGCTTCAAAACGATACAATGATGTAGGCAGTTGTCCCCTTTCTCACAAACTACCTCTTCAAACGCGTTGACCCTGATAAACAACGAAGGTTGAGTAATGAGTACAACAGGCCAACTGAAACGGAGGTTCCAGAGAGGAGGCTGTGTCTTTCTGTCCATTCTGCATCTATATTTATACAGAACGCTTCTTCTGTATAAAAATCGCAGAAAACATATTCTGAATAGGGGTATAAAAACAGCGCGGTCATGTGATTGTAATAGCGCGTTTTCATTGGGTCCATTCCTTCTGAATTATTAATGCGTTTAACAATATTCCAAAGCCCTCCCCTCCCTCCCCGCTACAAACACTTGCATCCCAGCAAAGTATGAAATAATCCTACTGGCGACAACAAAAACGTTTACACAACTTTATTTCTTACCGTTTTTCACGTTTTAAACGCGTTTACCTCCCCATATAAATATTTAATTTGTTTCTATATAAAATAACTCAAAATTTTTAAAATTGAATTTAAAAGTCTGCGAAGTGATAATGACGAGGAGTGTCAACTCTCGGCCGCTGGGCTCACGTTGGCCGCGCAAACGATAAGCCTGTTCTTGACCGGATGTGTTTCCACAGTGAGTTCATTACTTGAAGCTTCCGTGTCAAGGTTTAGGAGATACACAGATCTGTTGCCCTGCAAAACAGTAACAGCATGAAAAGCCAGTTTAGTGAAGAATATGGCCAATCAGGAGGCTGGAAATTCATCAAATATTTGGCGGTAACATCCGAACCCTCTGTGTTGTACCCAATGATATTTTCCCGCCAAAATGTGCCTGATCCCAGCGTTCGTCGCAGCTTCAAAAGATTTTCCCGCCATTACACGCCGCGTCCGTCGCAGCTTACATGTTATTTTCCGTCGAAATGTCAGCGTGGCATAGTGAAATATTCAGGTCAAGAGCGGGAAAAGCTTCAAGCAGAACTAAACAAAATCAAAAGTAATCCCTTGCGCAGTGAACCAATCAGAAGTCGTAATTTGTAGCCGGTGCGGTATTCGGCAAAATCACCTAAACCCTAGTCTCAACAGCTAATTTCGATAATCTACTAGTGTCCTACGCAGACCTTGTTAGAGCTCGTCACGCAATCTTCCTCCCGAAGATTGCGTGACGAGCCCCAAGAACGTCTACGTACAACGTAGGAGGCTGATAATTTACTAGCTATATAGAATTCTTGAAGGTCCCTTACCTGTACCAGTGGATACTGAATGCCGGCATTTAACAGGACCGAGCGAACCCCATTGTCACCACAAAAACTGAGACAAACTTCGTCACCATTAAAATCAGCTTTGACACAAAACAAAACCACTTTGGTTCCTAAAATGTTCAACATAAACATACAGAGGTTTACCTATAACTAGCCAGCGTCTCATTCGGGTTACGTGAGTAAATTGTCAATACCTTGTGAAACGCAAAAGTCGATTCAGGGTATTGGAGATTTCATTAATTTTCTAACCTTCGATGACTTAAAATGACAACGTTTTATCCTGGGCTTGTTTCATCAATGCGAGTGTAAATGAAGGGAAAGTGTGAAAGAAAACTCGTGATAACGCTAAATGAGAGTTAACGCAGAACGCATTGACGACTAAGACGATTCAGTCGTCTTTAACACACAGCTTACCTTGAGGTCCTTTGCTCGGGTTGTATTTGAGAGTGAAATTTACACTCTCTTTCTCCCCCGGGGCAATACAGCGGTACGACATCACCAATGGGAGGCGTAAAGTTCCGGCTGTTCCCAGGCACTTCCCCAAAGCGACCTGAAGTGTGTTCTCCAGGCTAAAAAAAAAGACAAGAACATAAACAGTTGAGACACTACCTATTCGAATGTGAAACCCACATGTTACTTGTTTTCAACACTGGAATCTAAATTTCTGAAAGTTTGAAAGATGAAATGTTCGAAATATCGCGATTGTGAGACAAAAAACATCTCCGATGGGATTCGAATCCATGAGCTCCAACTGAAGATACCCATAGGGCGCTCTTACCACAGTAACACAGGATAACTAAAATCAAACAGTGAATAATAACCCGAGCAGAAACAAAGAACCAAGGTTGTCATAAAGTTTTGAGTCTGGGGATATGCTAGCGTGAAATCTCCTTCACGTAGAAACGAGCAACTGGAGCACTGCTGACCTTTTTTCGTGTTCTTGGAGCAGGCTTTGTATTTCAAAATGTTGATTTCTTAACGCGATCTGAACGGCGGTCTGATCGTAGTTGGATTGAGCTTTAGTATCGACTCCATGCTTCAACAAAACCTCCACCACTTCTTCATGGCCCTTCTTACACGCCTGGAAACAGACGAGAAATGGTTACATCCTAACTAACGAGTTCATAGAATATAAGTAACAGCAAAAGAAAACAGTAAAATAGCCACTCTTCCAAACTTAGCTAAAATCCTATCTGCACTCTCGAAAAAAAAATGCTCGATTTTACGGGGTTAAAAATAGCCTCATAGCGTATTCTACATATGTCTCAGGTGCCGCCCACACTACGCCGGGGGAATCAGTGAAAACAGAGGATTCACTCCGAAAACGCGTCAAATGTTTTCCGTCCACACTACGCCGGAGGAATTTGAAAACGGAGGTTTCACCCTGAAAAAGCATCAAATGCTTTCTACCCACACTACGCCGGAGGAATTGAAAAATACAACAATCACCGGTCATTTTGGATTTGTGTTTGAGGAAGACTCGGTCAGGAAAATCACATGATCATCGTGACGTCATCGTTTTCGAAAAGCTCCGTTTTCAAAATGTTTTCCGTCCACACGAAAACGAAAAGCCGGCGTTTTCAAATTCCTCAGCTTTGAAGAGCGTTTTTTGAAAGCTCCGTTTTCGTGACGGATTAGAATAGACAGAAGCGCTAACCGGAGAAATAAGGCTGTTTTGTCAAATTTCTTCGGCGTAGCATGGTGTGGACGCTGCCTCAGGAGTACAGATATTCTTCCAAAACCACAGTATACTTTCACACGATGAAAAATCCAATTTCCCCCTATAAATCCATTTTTCGTATCCAATTTCAATGTGTCAAATACAGCCGTGTCACCAAATTGTTTTATTTGTTATTCCCACTGCGCATGAGTGATCGGTAAGCCCACTGACCTTCATGAGTGCCGTTTCACCTGCTGTCTGTTGCCAGTTGATGTGAGCACCAGACTCCAGTAGAATCTGCACGGTTTCTGGAAAACCCTGAAACAAACAAATGATGTTTCAAATTCTGATTATTTAATCACAATAATCTCCACTTCAGCTTATAGGTCGGTAGATGTCCTTGTTTGATCATTCTGCAATGTTCTGTTTTCATTTGCAGCACCCCATCCGCAAGAACTCAAGTAAACAAACTTTCTTGTTTTGGTGAACATTTTTGAGCCACGCACCAAACGCACGCAAAGTAGTTTTTTCTCCTGACGTAAAGCGTTGTGCTTTTAGCTGTACGAATGCTCCAATAGTCGTGCAGTGAAATCGAGTTAGGACGCTAATGACAAGAAGAAACAAGTCTAACTTCAACTTTGTCACCATTTCTCCACTTCTTTCGTTCACTCGTTTCTTACAGGTCTGCTTTGCAACAGAACAAAACATGATCAATTCTTTTTGAAAAAAAAATTCCACGGATAGCCGATGCAAATCGAAATCCTGATCGGGGAAGTCAAATTGTCGTGGAAAGAAGACGAATACATTCACAGCATTTTTCGTTCGTTTTTGGGCGAATCTGAGTGTGTGGTTCGGGGGGGGGAGAGGGGGCTACCATTGATAAATACCTGTTCTGCAGCGTGCATAAGTGCTGTCATGGCGGTTCTCTTCTGAACAGTATTAACACCAGCTCCTCTTCTCAGTAGCAGTCTGACGATCTCGTCCTGACCACTCGTCGCCGCCCACATCAGTAGAGTCATTCCTGACGCTGTATCTATGGCAACGTCATCCGGGTTAAAGCCGGGTACAGCCAGGGCTCGTCTGACAAGCATGGCGTCACCTTCTTGAATCGCCTGTCGCAAGGCGGCTGAATGGTGGAAATAAAATCACGAAATATATAAACAAACCTCGAGTGGTACAACGTTGAAGAAACATCATCATCCAGAAGAGAGCGCACCTAGGCCGCCTGAATTAACACTAAATGAAGTTAATAGGACATGTGATGACAAATAGTCTTTTATGTAAGAGTGTTGGCAAAAAAAACTCATATCACAGGTGCTACTCAGTGATAACAAACTATAAAGCCTTTCAACACTATCCATGGCCTAATAGTGTTACTACAGGGGAATCCCGCCTGACGGCCACCTCGTTAATACGGCCACCTCGTTAATACGTCCACTTTATTCTGGCCCGAAAAAATACTCAGTCAGTCATTTTCTTATTTAAAGATCCCCTTTCATACGGCCACCCCGATATTAAGGCCAGAGTTTTGTGGCCCGTTGGTGACCGGATTAACGAGGTTCAACTGTATAGTCAGCTATCCCGTATCCGCATCATAGTTACATTTACTTCGTACAGGCGCGGAAAGATACATGAAAAGACTTCACCATGTTCATGGAGCGATTGATCAAAGCGCTAAACTCTGGCAGCATTACAATGAAAACCCTGTTTGTAGAATTCACATCTGGACGAGAGTCCTTCTTTTGGACCATTTTCCCTTGCTAACAGAAATGACTGTCCTCGCATCAAATCTTAAGTTATTTCTAGCCCTTATTTCTACCTGAAGCTCGTACTAGGACCCAGAAACAGCCACTCTGCTTAGATCTAATGGCATTTGATGCACTCCGTTCCAAACTCGCCACCTTCAACAACTATAACAAACGAATTACACAATAGGCCATTTCCCAGTTACCTTGCGCCTGTGTTTCAAAACGAGTCTTCGCGTAAAACCTTTCTTTTGAAAATAGGTTCATTCAAATTCACCATCTTTATTCACTTGCCACACTCACGATGACTGTCGAAGTGCTGATCCTAGCAGTATGCACGACGCCTGTCACATATGAACTCAGTTAAATGACCTTGCTCTCCATGAGTTCTCGTAGCTCAGTGGATAGAGCGCCCGCCCGGTGTTCGGGTTCGGGTCATGGGTTCGATTCCTGCCGGGGNCAGTTAAATGACCTTGCTCTCCATGAGTTCTCGTAGCTCAGTGGATAGAGCGCCCGCCCGGTGTTCGGGTTCGGGTCATGGGTTCGATTCCTGCCGGGGACTCAGATTTTTTCTTTGTCCCACGCTCGTGTCATGTTGATCAGTTCACTTGTAGACGGAACTCATTTTCATGTGAATGGTTTCGCATTAAGACACGTTTTGACACAGAAGCAAACAGTTACTCACAAATGACCTATCGATCCCCCCACCCCGACTTTTCGTTTGTCAATGCACGTTACACCTTACATTGTCTTACCCCAAGACAAGTTTAGTGGTTCAACAGATGGAGAGGACGCTCTGTCAGTTACATTCGAGTCCTACCAAGACATAAAAATAAGACGATTCAATTAAACCTTAACACCTTTTTGACGTTCTCCATACAAAACAATCCTGATTGATCGAACTTTTTCTTCAAATATGTGGGAGCTCTAACACTGAAAAATAACCTGAAAAGATCACAGCCTTATTTACAGATTAATTTTCACGAAAAGAATGGATTAATTATCGCAGAAAACGCTAATTAGGTTGTTTTTTTAGAGTAACTTCTCTTAAGCCCCGTTTTGACCCGTCCACACTACGCCGCAGGGATTTGAAAACTCAACTGATCACCGGTCATTTTGGATTTGTGTTTGAGGAAAACTCGGTCAGGAAAATCACATGATTATCGTGACGTCATTGCTTTCGTAAAGCTCCTTTTTCAGAATGTTTTCCGTCCACACGAAAACGATAATCCGGCATTTTCAAATTCCTCCGGTTTGAAGAGCGTTTTCGAAAAGCTCCGTTTTCGTGACGGATTAGTGTGGACGGTAGGCCTAACCGAAGAAATAAAGCTGCGTTTTCAAATTCCTCCGGCGCAGTGTGGACGGAGCCTTGATAGTAACACAATAAAAATTTCAGAAACATTTCTAGTACTAATCCCCGGTTTAACTAGTTTTACTGCAAAGACTGAAAACATTTACTCACCTCTACCTCATCGAAAAAAGAATGCGGTGAATAATCATCCAAGTCGAATTCAAAATCACTCAGGTCATCTTCCCCATCTGATATGTCCTCCATTCCGCTGTCCTGTTTACAGGCAAAGTAAACAAAACTTCCTTGATTTCATCATTATTCATTCTGTAACTGAGTCCCAGGTTCTCTCTCTTAAAGAATACGCAGAGAACCCTGGAAAAGTAGCAAGAAAAAAGGCTGGTAGGATTATGTCGGCCGGAAGACGCGCAATTGGTGTGAGAGGTAATTTAGGAGTATTCTACGAGTGATAACTTGTTTAATTCTGTCTGTTATTGTACATGTTTAAGATGAGGCTCCGTATGAAAAAAAGATGGCAACTGGCACATTTACCCATAATCCTTAGCGCATGAAAATCTTAACAACGCTCGTAGAAACATACGGAAAAGTTCTTTCTAAAATTTTCAAATTAAGCTTACACAACGTCGTTGGTACAGTGACAAATGTTGCAAAAATAAAGCTTTCCTTGTGCCAAAACGGCTTTGTTAGGTTGGAAAGGCAGTGTGGTAAAATGTAGAGCCGCCATCTTACAGAGGGCTGAACGAAGAAAAATTATGTTAACAAAAATTGCAGGAAGAAATTTGCACAATGTAACCCTGCTAATGATAAAATTAGTGAAAAATGCCGTTTGAAAACTGTCTTGCCGAAAAAAAAATCACCTCAAATCCTTTCAAGAAGTTGTTTTTCTTTTCGTTTCTAATTTGTTGATGCTCTTGTCTAATCCGATGTGAGCGCAAAAACTGTCAGTAATTCGCTTTGAGTTTCATGAATAGGCAAGCGAAACTAGTACATGGCCTCAGGTAAATAAGAACGCATAAATATCGTACGAGACAAACAGCGCCGTGGAAACCAAACAAAGCCATTGTTATACAAAAATACACAACTAGAAATTAACTTCCGTGAATATTTAATCATTTTTCGATTCTTGATATTTTTTTTGTTTTATCCACTAAAATCAAAATTAAGCAATCGCTCACTTATTACAAGATGATTAGTTAAATGTAATTCAATATACCTAACACGGGATTTTTCCGTATCCGTTTCTTTCAGTATATTTTTTATCGGCGTTTCGAATAAATTTGACGAAAACAAAAACAGCATTTTGATCAGGGACATCACCAGACGTGAGAGGAAATAAGTCATTATTCTGTATCTTGCAAAACAGAATTTCGCACGGCAAATAGCAACGCTAATTTAGAGCAAAAAACAAGTTATAGATTCAAATATATTTTACGCTATATCTGCTTATTTCTTTTCAAGCGCGATCTAATCGAACTTACAAACAGAGTGAAAAAGTAACTTGTCTAAACGACACAATTTGCATGTATTTAAAATAAAATAAGACAACACCAACGAGCTTCCTATCACTTCAGATAAAACTTACCCACGATCGAAAATTTCCTGCCTCATCTTGTGCCTTGTTTTGTTTTTTAGCACTGGCTGCATCTCTTTCTTCTTTCTTCGCTGCTGGCGCTGTCGCTACGGATTTGCCTTTGCTATCAGTGTCCTTTCCACTCTCTTGTATAATCGCACCGATAAGATCTCCATCCATCAGCGGGGCAGAATTAGTCCTATTTTGCATGGGTAACAAATCTGCTGTCCTCGAAGTGATATTGTGTTTATCCATCTTACCCTGCGCATCATTAATTTTCGCCACTGGACATTCTGTAGTAGAAGAGTTTTGTTGCGTCGCTGCCGTTTTGTCGCTCGACAGACGCTTTCTCAAATTATCTCTGAGTGATTTCGGTCTTCCTTCAGTTCTTTTCGCTTTTCCCTTGTTCTTCTTCTCATGCGCTAGTCTTTTCATAGTCGGGGCAACTTGGTTGTGCAGTTGTGACGTGTCCTCCTGAAGCGAAGTCCTCGCCGATATTTCCATCTCATTATTTTCCCGTCGCTTCGCGCTCGCCTCGGAAACACTACTTTCAGCTACTGACAATGGTGACAATTTTGAGCTCGAATTTTTTGCTGACGGCAAATCACCTGTTATGTTTGAAAAATCCGCGCTTTTCTCATTCGTGTCGGATTTGTGATCGCTGTCCAAACCCCCAGCAGGTTGATTCTTTACTTTCATTGTCTTCCTCAACATTTGCATTTTGGACACGGAAAGTTTGCTAGACAGATCAGCTCGAGAAAGCAAAGATTTCACCTGGTTTGAATTCTCGTCAGTCTGTTCTTCCGGTTCGCCAAAAACTTTGCTTGTCTCTATTTCACTGCCTGACTGCAGTGACGGCTCCATGTCATTTGGCCTTGCTCTGCTCTCGAAACCAAACTCTACAGGAGGAAAGTTATCTATACTTGCACAATGGTTAATTGCTTTCGCTTGATTTTCAACGGACAGGGATTTCTTTAGCTTCGTTACCCCTTTCTTCTTACCCAAGCTGTTTTCCGCCTTCCCTAGACGAGTTTTTTCCGCATCCTGGGTAACAGATTGCAACTTTTCATTCTTCTTTTTCAACTTCGTTTTATCCGAATTCAGCGAGGATTTCAGTGGTAGTTTCTCACCCTCCCCCTCTGACTCACTTTGTGAAGATATCACAATGCACTCTTTCATTAAAGTGGGCTCGGAATCTTGCGAGCAATATTCCTGCTCATCGTCAATTGTACCTTGAGAGGAAATTTCAATAACTTCGAAACTGTCCTGCTCTGAACATCCCGCGTTCTCTTCGCCATCAATCGGTTCAAACTCGACAGAATTGTCGTGCTTCGTATCCGACGAAGCCTTCACGGAAGTACTTCGGTTTTCCGAGCCAGAGTCCGCCGTATGATCGTGTCCCTGTTTCTTCCGAAGCGAAACAAGAGCAAGTTCTTTGCTTGCTTGACGAGTCATTCCTCGGGGAGCGATTTCATCCAAGTCTAAAAGTAACAGGTCCGACGGAGCAAGGGAGGTAGAAAAATATTCAACGGCCTCCTTTGGTGGTCTCCCTCGCTTTTTCTTCGTAGTGTTTCCGTCGCTTAACTCAGGTGATGTGGAAATGTTTCCATTTGCACTCTTTTTTTCTTCCATTCCTCTGGTGTCTTTTTCCAACAAGCGGTGTTTAGGAGGACGACCTCTTTTCCTTTTTTCTGGTGGTGAACTCATTTCATTTTCGTTGTTGCCGTTTTGATCCTGAGAAGATAAAGTTAACAGATCGTCAATTTACGCTCATGTGATCTGGCGAGCTTATAATCAATGCGTTTTCTTCAATTTAGCTTTAAAAGTGATGTCTCCTACTGACTTTCGATAACAAGTGACCTCGTCAATCAAAAGAACAGGCGACAGCGCTTAAATGATTTTCAGCTCTGACACTAGCAAAGCGGTGAATGTTATTAAAGACCTTGCGATCGTACAAGCGATAGAATTAAAAGGTTTTAAACATCCAGTGCGCACAGGTGGCTTCGTATGTTGTAGAGGCGCCAAAAATTTGATTGTGTATGAATGGGTCGAATCTATTAAATAGTCCTTCTCACAACTAACTTTTCTCATTTGCATTACAATATAATCTAGCATGTATGTGAAGCAATTTCGGGCAATTTTGTAGTTTCATCCTGAAATGGCCTCGCATCCACGTTGGATTACAGTGAAATGCAAATACGAAAAGCTAACCGTGAAATGGGCGATTGCTGAACGATTTGACCATTACTCTTTTCTCTGAGAAGACCTTTTGACACTCCTCGTTCAGTTTCGCAAGCAATTCTCACTGAGTCTGTTGTCGAGCCTCAGCTCAAGAGCAGCTAAGTAAATATCTGCCACTCGCAGACGACAAAAGTAACGAAAGCCAAGTCAAGAATCTAACACGCAAATTTTAATTCACTTGAAGCCGGTTGTTTTGCTTGAGAACAAGGCTTCAGACAGTTCTGCGGAAAATTTCCTGACGGAATTTGTTTGAGTTGAAACTAAAAGTGCAAGCCAATTTGATCCTTGAGTAAAATTCATGCGGCTGAATGCGAGGGATTAAACTTTAAAACTTACCCGGGGCATACAAGCTTCAATGGATGAATGAAAGGTTAGACTGTAAGTGAGATTTCTGGTGCGAGGCATGCACTAGCCATACAGAGAGTTCTCATCAAAAATTTTAACTGCAGCTAAAATAACCGATACGGGCTGCCGGAACTTGTGCCAATCAGCAAAGTTACTGCCAGACGTTACCAAGTGCTTTAGCCGAACGAATCTCAACCACATACCTGGATTGCTATAAAATTCGAGTCAAATCTGCTTGAAACAGGTATCCTAAACTTGTGATCAACCGAGACGTTATTCTTGGACATGGCGTCTTGCGTGACGGCCGGAACTTCGTGTTTCAGATGTCGCATTTATATGGTCGCCCGCGCACGAGCAATACAGCGTTTACACTCACGTGGCCAGTAACCGTGGCAATTTGTTGGAACAAGAGGAAGTGAGTTCAACCTCCACATGATTGGCTTGGGACAACAACTTGGTCACCGTTTTATTGCTTTAGAACTCTCTAGGACACCAATATGGCAGGCTCGATTACCAGCCGGGTCTTCGGGAAAGAAGCCCGCGCCTACTTATATGGAAGCCGTGACGTTAAGTCAAAACATTCAAGTTTCGAAACTCGTTCCTTTGGCTATACCTTGTGAGTTGTACTAATTTTTCAAAAATCTGGTGATCGAAATCCCGCGCTCTATTCAAAACTTTTCACAATCTCCGGCTTCGTACGGCAAAGCTGCTTGCACCGTTGGTGGATGGATGCAATAAGGCTAAATTACCAGGAAAACGTACATCAGACCGCCTTATACTGACACACTCCGATATCCTTATGAACGATCAGTTTAGGCAGCATCCACACTACGCCGGAGAAATTTGAAAACGCAGCTTTATTTCTACGGTTAGGTCTACCGTCCAAACTTAATCCGTCACGAAAACTGAGCTTTTCGAAAACGCTCTTCAAATCGGAAGAATCTGAAAAGGCCGGCTTTTCGCTTTCGTGTGAACGGAAAACAAAACGAAAACGGAGATTTCGGAAACAATACGGTCACGATAATCATGTGATTTCCCTGAACGAGTTTTCGCCAAACACAAATCCAAAATGACCGGTGATTGTTGCGTTTTAAAATTCCTCCGGCGTAGTGTGGACGGAAAACATTTGATACGTTTCCAGAGCGAAACCTCCGTTTTCAAATTCTTCCGCCGTGGAGTGGATGGGGCCTGAAATTCAGGCTTACATTACGATACTCATGCTCCAAAAACTGTACATGCGCAAAGTTTGCTAACCTGGGAAAGAAAGATTCCCTTTTCCTCCTGCTCGGGGAGAGACGAGAAGAAACGTTGCCTCTCGTCTTTCACCGAGCAGAAAGAGAGGGGAATCTTTGTGTCACAGGATACAAGTTAACACGTACTTGTCTAGGTTTTTCTAATTAGAGACAAGAGTCACTTAACGCAAGAGAAAAAAACAAAACAAAAAAAACTCACCTTTCGATTACCGTCATCTGTATCACTGTCTTCTCCTGCCATTTCCTTCAGCCGTTTCTGTAAACAGGAAACTGAATATTATTTTGGTATATAACGGTACACACGCTAGATTTTGTCAAGATTCTTCGTAGAGCTTTAAGGCCTTGTCCAAGCTAATCCGTTATTAAAACCGTACGTATTCACATAGCCCCACACGTTGGAAAATGTTCACGTGCACTCTTTTTTCATGAATTCTCTTCATGTGATTTTGTCTATTATGTACACGAGCACTATGAAACATGCTGACAGATTCGCGGATTTGGAGGCAATGTGACGGATTCTCACGTTTTCGAAAGCCTCCATTCTCACCCACCCTCAACGACGAGGGCGACGCGTAGTCAAAAATGAATTTATATTTTGCCAGAGAAATTTGCAATTGTCTAGATCTGTTCGGTACGCTAATGGCTCTAAAAGCGTGCTCAGGCTAAATATGCAATGACGACAATGACAGCGTTCAATTCCGAAAGAAAATAGGAAAAATTAGCCGTCGTCGTTCGTGTTCCTCAGACTACGCAGAACTTTGTCATTTCACGTTGTTGGTTTGCAGAGGACGGCAAAGAAATGTACCAAGATTTATAACGCGCGTGCACAGCTATTGAGAATATTTTTCGATTAAAGAGCTCAGTCACGGTTTGCACATTTCGAAAAGTTTAGCCTAAATTTTTCAAATTCGTCGTTTATAATCCGTGTCAATCTTCGCCATCCTTGACCATCCTTGTTCCTTGATAGTTTATTATTATCTCTTTGATGTTTTTCTATCTTAGTAAACTATTATTTTGAGGTTTCCTTCCATTTAAAGGAGATTTTGTACGTGGCCAAAAAAAGACAAAACACCGTGACTGAGCTCTTTTAAAGCCTGAAATGGCACACACAACTTCGTGCAGAAATGTTATTAGCGTCGAGCATATAGCTAGTGCTGCTGTTGCTGTTTTTTGGCTAGTTTTGCTGCTTAGAGAAAGGATGAATTTCACATGGTTTAGTTAAAAAGAAATAATTGTACTGCATTTACAAATTGTCAACACAAAAAAATTATTTCTTTTCAAAATTTCAGCCTCTGGTTTATTCTTAAAATATTCTTAATTTTTTTTCGCAAATTTGAGCCTCCGTATTACTTATAAAACATATACTTTTTTTAACAAAAAAGTGTACACTGTAACTAGATAAATTGCCCAGCATTACAACCTTATCCTTCTCTCTTTTTTCATTTTATTTTATTTTATTTTTCTTCTTATCCCGTATGGCTCACGCTTATCACTAAAACTGAGATGTTTGGTTTTTAAATCAAAAAGAAGAAAGTAGAAAATGTGTTTGGCCCTCTTGGTTAGACCCTGATGGAAACCAAAAGTTGCTGACAGTCCGTTTTGTTTTCTTTGTTAAGCTGCAAGTCAGGCTCAAATAAAAAGAAAAGAAAGTGCAGCATGCCAATTAGCACCCTTCGGAGGTTTTTTTTAAAAACCAGTCACATATATATAAAAATATGCACAACATGCTAAGGACCAAATAAGAGCAAAAGCTTAAAACGAAATCACTTGTAAAAGCATGATGGAAATTTGGTTTACAGTTTGTAGTTTTTCTGTGTTTTTCACCAGCACACACTCCTTGATTCCAGTTAACAGCACACAAAGTTCTTTGAGAATGAAAGACTTCTTTACAGTAAAGGATAAATAATGATTGTATCCACAAGACATGACAAGACATCACATTGATAAAATGTCAATCAACAATACCTGTAGTTTGTATTTTGGGTTACTACCAATCAGCCATGCTCATGAATGTTATCAGTAATAAGTTAGTTTATCATTGCATTGTACTCACTGGCTTCCGACCACGCTTCTTGTAACCATCTTTTCTTTCTTGCCAAAACCTGTCGACCAGTTCCTGACATGTAAGAAGGTTGTCACTTGGTTCCCAAGAGTCTTCTTCTGAGCCATAACCCTCCCAACGAACTTTGAAAAGCACTTTTCCATCCTTAGAAAGAATTGAACAAACCATAACATAACAACACTATAGTCAGTTCAAAATAGTCCCATTGTCCCAGGCAATTAGATTTTCCATCTGGGCAAGCAACTTTTCATTCTCACTTGCCCAGTGGGCAAGAGATGAAAGCAAGTCATCTGCCAACTAAATCATTAAAAGAGCGAACCAAGACCTGCTGCAGGCAAGCAAAATTTGAGAGCTGCTTGTTCCAAGGGCATGCTGGAATTTGACTTTTTTCCAGCACTCTCTCACCCTCACTTTCCGGGAACCCATTAATAGCAGAGCTCC